TGTTACAATAAAACTAAATGTGTACACAAAAAGTGTGTGGTGAGTTTGCTTTTAATCTGGGATGTTTTGCGGACTTAATTGCAATCAGTCTAGAATGGTTATTTTTGGTAAATGTTTGGTGGGGAGGGTGGAAATTGTACAGACCTGAGGTAAATGCTTCAGTGTCAAAATTGATTTCAAACTGCTTGCTCCAAATTAAATCCCTGTTATTATCTACTTAAAAGACCAAATTGTAACAACTCTAATATGTACACAAATGAAAATGCTACAAGTATCAAGGAACAAATCGTTGGAGTTGTCTGCGATGTTCTAGAAACTTCTGAGTTTGTAATAATTAGAGATCCATTCTGTATTTATTGGAAATGAGATTGTAATTACGAAGGGCAGATTGCAACCCTGAGAACTTGGTGTTCTCCTTCAATAATTTGGGTCTGGGTCCATTGTTGCATTGTAAGTGCTTGTTTAAATTTGAATACCACACATTTTGTGGACTGTTTGTAGGCTTGCTTTTAACTACCAAAATTGCACTTGATTTATTTTGCCTCTTAGTTCCTAAATTCTATAAGTTGGTATATAATGTATATATTGTCCTGGCAGTAGTTGCAAAACATCCTTTGAACTGATTACTTTTTCTTTGCAACCAGAGTCTGCCATAATTGCTACACATTTAGCACCAAAAATGTAGTGATGTGTGTGTATATAATCAACTTTTTAAAAGCCTGCCACAAAGTTTGCAGAAAGTTAGACTCTTGTGTAATTATTACATTTTATAATTATTGGTGTGCAATGGATTTGGCACAATTCTTGCAAATTCATCATATTTCTGGTAGTTCAAAAGAATTTGTTGTGCTATTTTATTCTATTCTGGCTCCTCTTGATTAGGAATGAGGTTGTGGCATAACTAGCTTATCGCTACTAGTTTTTGAGAATATGGGATCTATTGTCTCTCCTTTTTTTTTGACAGGTTGTGTATGGGTATCCCATTCAATGCTACCTGTAGTATTTAATGTACACTTTTGTTCCTGTTTCATGTTTAATTGGTTGATTTTTCTGATCTTTCCAGAATTTGTACTGATTATACTAAACTGTGACCTCGTTTGAATTGCTATTGTACAATGAAAGAAGTTGACCTGATTACAACTGTGTTCCTTGATTTATGAGCTTCTCCCGTTTTCATTAACTCTTACTTGATACTGTTTAAGAATTTGAGTTGGATTTCTTTTTGTAATATTTTGCTTTAACCCTTTCCAACTTGAAACGTTTTCAATCACTTTTAGGGATTTTGCAGTTGCTGTGGGAGGGTAATGGTGCCATCTTGCTTTTTCATTATTACCAGTGATGAGTAGGCGTTGTGATATTGCTAAACATGTTACCTCTTGATCCTGAGCCTTGCCAGAATGGTGTATAAATTGATTTAATATACTTGTCCTAGTTAATTCTGGTAGTTGATTGCTGCAAACTTCAGAGATTTTCATATCTAAATCTTCTCCAGTATTCCATTAGATTTCAGTATAACCTGAGCAGCTCATGAATACAGTTGTTTCACAAATGCAATTCTTCAGTTTCTCCTGGTGTTTGAAGATTGTGTCTTCGTGAGAGGGAGTTGTACATTTGCATGTTTTCACTTGGAGAAATACATTCTCCTGAACAAGTCCTTTGTTTGTCGATGCATTCTTGCCACTCCAGTAGAGACAAAGAAACTGAGTTGAGTTGTGGGTGGGAAACCCTCTTTGGGATGCAAAAAGATAGCTGACTGGTACCAACCATGCCATTTTTTCTTTTGGCAAATTGATGGATTGACTAATAATTCTACCACCAGCAATGCAAGCATAAGGCATGTGATTCCTTAAACTAGTAATAACGGACCTGAACACTTCCGTCTAAAAAGAATGATGGTGTACAAGAAGCCTAATGAGTATAACCAGAGCTGTAGTTAGTTTTTTTTATTTTGCTTACATAATTGTCCTGATAATAGGATCTAGCTAAGCCATTGCTTTGCTTAGCAATGTTCTGGAGAGCATGATGTCTATAAACCACATTTGAGAATGTTCCACTGGATTTATAGACACTTGATCTTTAAATGTATTGGGTTTTGTTTGACATGGCAGCCTAAGGTGTCCTGACTTCATCTTGAACTTTGTTTTTTTAAATTAAATTGGTTCTCATCAATCTGTCTTTACTGTTATCTACAATAAAGTTTGTATACATGTTTTGCCATAGTGCTGTGTATTGTCTTTACTGCTTGTTGTGTACATCTGGAAGTGTATTGCCAATACAAATAATATTGATTTAATCTCATCCAACAAAAATGAAGCAATTAGCACAAATGGGCCTTTGGATATTTCTACAAATGCTACAAATTTAGCTCAACACTATTTTATGGGACGTGACAATGCAAACAGATCATTATAAATTGCCATTACCTCAGGAATGCTTAGTGGTACTCCATGGTATTGACAATCTGTAGTTGTCATTTGACTACTTGATTAATCCCTCAATTTTTGAGATGAGTTAACTATTCAGACCAGTGAAAAAAAGAGCTTTTAAGAAATTAAGCCATTTTGGAACAGCTGTTCCTCTGGCAAAACATGATGTGTGTGCAGCTCAACATTTATTAGAGCATTTACAGATAATTCCTGGTACACTGACAGTTGCTCTAACCTCTTTGTGCCTGGGAACAAATTTTCAGGTGGGAAAGATTTTTGAATTTAAATTAGTTTTGAATGAGATTGTAATTCTAGTTCAAAAGTAATGGTGGGGTATTAAACTTAAGTGCCTATTTGGTTAAACCTCTTCTTTAACTCATTGAAGTATAATTCAAATATTTGAATTACAATATTGTCCAAAGGTTTTATGCAAACTTACAGTATTTTGGTGCAGACTCCCGTCGGCTTGGAGAGAAAAAGGAACTATTCCAATGCAACACTATTAATGTTGTTTACAACATTTAATAATCTCTTAAACATCCTTCAGAAAGAGTAACTATTGTAGCCTGTTTGGACACCTCTGACTTTCCAAAAGCCCCCTCATATTTTTAAGCACCTGTTCAGATATCCAAGTACTTGCCTCTGGAGGAGGTGGGACTAGGAACATGGGTTTTCTGGCCAAAAGGTGGGGATGCTACCATTGTGCCACAAGAGCCCTCTGCAATGAAGTTACAGTGGAGTACCTAGAGTTATTTATCTAAATATGTCTATCCTGTTCGTATCTCTAAGATGGAGACATTTTCACATCAACCTGTTCAGAGATATTAACACACCTAGATCTCCTTTGGTATCATTCTATCCTTATGATTAGTTTAGGTGGTGGTCCTTCATGCACCTATAGTTTCTGCAGCATTTTAAACATAGAAATTGGAGTTATAATGGTTTACATGTAATTGGGTCTCAAAACTTAATACCTGAAGCAAGAAATACCAATAATATTTTCAACCACAACACAATGGGAGGCACAGATTCTTGTAGGTTATAGGTAGGAATGCATCAGTTCTTCCCCTGGATGAGTACCAAACAACTGCTGATTTGGCAGTATTTAACAAAGGTGGAAACATTTGAATGAAGTAGAATGTTAACCCCTTGTGTGCTTATCATAGAACCTCACATCAAGCTTGTCTTAGGCAAAATAGCTTTTATGCCACATCAAAGGGTGCTAAATTCCCTTTCACAGTATTAAAACTTGAGTGTTCCAAAGAATTTGCATTCAGAAGGATTGCCAAACCCTTCTGCTATTCAGTAGATGAGGCTGAATTTCTTTCAATTAAGCATTTGAATAATGACTGGTGTTCCAGGCTGTGGGAATCATTTAGTATACATTTGATATTTTTATCTATGCAAGTATTTTCTACTCTTCAATATTTATTGTACAGCAAATAATTGTTAGAATAGATTTCTAAACTCTATTGCATGGGTTTTACTACTGCATTTTTCTCCAAGTCAATAAGAGAAACAGAAAATAAGCACTATTTGGTGCTTTGAGCCTGTTCTGCCATTCATTATGATTGTGGCTAATCATCCAACTCAATAGCCCATTCACCCTCATTTTCCTCTGATTTGGTGTTCTCCCCACCTGCTGCAGGTCTAATCAAGTAGCTTAAATCCTTCAGGACTACTCGCTTAATTAATAGAGATAGTAGGAACTGCCAATGCTGGAGAATCTGCAATAACAAGGTGTAGAGCTGGATGAACACAGCAGGCCAAGGAGCATCAGAAGAGTAGAAAAGCTGACGTTTCGGGCCTGGACCCTTCAGAAAAATTTCCTGCTCCTCTGCTGCTGCTTGGCCTGCTGTGTTCATCCAGCTCTACATGTTACCTTAGCTTAATTAATAGTTGTCCTCTGAACCACTCATGGTGCTAGACAAAGTTCTTCCATTCACTGTTTGATACCCTTGCTAACCTCAGTGCTTCTTTCAAGTAGTGACCATGGAAAAGTATTGATTCAGCAGCTGAGAAAAGGTAGTAAATGATATTTAGCAAAATGTTTCCCATGTTTAATGTGACAGCATGAAATCAGCAGTTAGAATTGATTTGAGTCCACTCCCTCTGACCTGTGCACCACGACCACTTTTTTTTAATGCTGTGGGGAAAGCAAGAGGAAGAGTCTGGGATGTTAGCTGGAGGATACATTTCTCTGAATATAAACAGGTACTGGTTTTACCAGCAGTCCCAGTTTTGACACAGGTACCCACATGTTCATGAGGGCTGGTAGAAGACAACCATTACAAAAGGCAGTTAAGAGTCTACCACCATGGTATAGATCTGGGTTCATGTGTAGACTAAACAAATATAGTTTCCTATCCTGAATGTTAGCAAATCTGGTTTATAGCTATCCAATGGTTCATTGTCATGAGTACAGCATCTTTTGATTTAATTAATTGCATCTAACTCATTGCTATGATAGAACCAGAACATATTTCTTGATTATTTCACACCTGTATTACCATGGCAGGGAGAGTAAAATGCATATAAATTGAGTAAATTTCATCAAGGCATAAAATATAGGTATCAGTTATAAATATGTTTATTTCTCTACTAAAAAAAAGGAAAAAAGTTTGATTTCAACTCCGGTAGGACTTGGGTACCATGAGAAGTGTTGCAGCAAAATTCTCCTGGAGGAGTCTGTCTACAATCAGTGCAACAAATGTCTCTTCTGATTCCTCAAACTCTTCATCCGTAATATGCTGAGGCCAGATGCTAGGCTGAAATGACCAACCTGTTGGAAAAAAAAAATTCACAAACTTAACACTAGACAACTAAGCTTGTAACATCACGTGTAACCTATTATGAAACATTTGTGCCAAGATGCATTACAGGAGTGTAATCAATAAAACTGAGCTAAAGGAGGAAATATTAAAGGTTGCCAACAGCCCAATCAAATAGTTTTGAGCAGTATTAAAAAGGAGTGAAAGTGTTTAGGAAACAAGTTTCCAGAGCTTAGGCCTAGACCACTGAGTCAGAAATCGCATGACACCAGGTTATAGTCCAACAGGTTTATTTGAAAACACAAGCTTTCAAAGCCTTGCTCCTCCTCCAGGTGTTAGTGAGGTGGTATCAGACACGGAATTTATAAGTAAAAGATCCATGGGTCACACCACTGATGCAAATGTATTAAACAAACCTAAAGATATATATGTTAATGCCCAAATTCTTTTCAAGTCACTGCCCTGAGAGAACTAAATGTTTTATCAATGTAAAGAGGAGGTGACATTTTAGGTCAGACAATGCTTGTTAGGTGTGAGGCTTTGTTTAGAATCTATGTTTGGTTTGGAGTCAGGCTGCTTTTATTTCTAAATTAGGAATTTATAAAATACCACATTGACTGACTGACTGTCTATAAATTGTGTGCTTTTTGAACAAAATAGAATCTTTCTGCAAATACAAATTCACCCCATAGATTTACATGTGTGCTTGCATGGGGGGGGCGGCGGGAGAGGGCACGTGCACACGGGGGAAGAGTGCATATGGGGGCAGGGCGAGGGCACGTGCATATGAAAGTGCGCGTATGTGAGAGAGAGAACAAACGTGTGTGCGCATGCGTGAGGGCAAGAGAGAGTAAGTACTGTGTAGTGTGGTGGGGTCACCTGTAGTGCGACATGAACCCAAGATCCCGGTTGAGGCAATTCTCATGGGAACCGAACTTGGCTAACAGCCTCTGATTGGCAACTTGGCGTTGTTGTGTATCCCCAAGTCCACCTTCGAGGACATTTACCCGAGATCCAAGGCTGTATGTCCTTGACCACTGAAGTGTTCCCCCGGGGTGGGGGGAGACATCCCTGTCTGGTGATTATTGCGCAATGTCATTCATCTGCCATATTCATAGCGTCTGCATGGTTTCACTAGTATACAATGCCTTGAGATAGACAATGTTGGCTGAGTCACATGAGTATCAGCCGTGCACATGGTGGGTGTTGTTCCCACATGTGATGGTACTGTCCATGTTGAAGATCTGATGTGTCTTGCAGAGGTTGCCATGACAGGGTTGTATAGTGTTGTGGTTGATGTTGTCTTGAAGACTGGGTAGTTTGCTGTGAACAATGGCCTGTTTAAGGTTTGGTGGTTGTTTGAAGGTGAGAAGTGGAGGCATACAGAAGGTCTTAGGGAGGTGCTCATCGTCACTGATAATGTGTCGAAGGCTGTGAAGAACATAGCATAGTTTCTCCGCTCCCAGGAAGTACTGGACAAGCACTGAAGTTGCAGCTGCCAGAAGTGGGAGTGAATACGTAGATCTGAAAGTTGAAGCAGGTTAAAGAAACAGGCTGAAGAGGTTATTTGAACAGGAGAATGCAAATTTTAAGAAAGGAGACACTGATAGACTGAAAACCAAGGCTATAAGTCCAATAAGGTATATAGGAGAACATTGTGGACAAGTGTGATGTGGTGTAGTGTCAGGTGTAGGCAATAGAATTTTGGATGAGCTCAAGTTCAGATCATCAAAGTTTGAGGTCTGCCAGCAAAGTATTGGAATAATAAAAATCTAGAAGAAAGGTATGAATTTGGCAGACAGAAGTAGACATTTGAGGTAGAAGTACAGTCTTGCCAACGGAAAGGATACAGGATCAGAACTCAGCTCAGAGTCAAATGAAGCAAAGAGGTTGTCTCACAGGATACTGGTCTGGAAAGGGATAGAATCAGGAAACAGCTTGTGATGGGAACTTGATGTAGGAACTCTGTAGTATATTCTAAAAGATCAAGGCTGAGATACAGCTCAACTCCCTGATTTCCTGTTAACCAACAATCTGTTCTGGACTTTCCACATAGACGCGATGGTCGAGACAGCAGAAGAACGCTTCTTCTTGCTCGGGCAACTTAGGAAATTTGGCATGTCCATAAGGACCCTCACCAACTTTTACAGATGCACCCTAGAAAGCATACTATCCAGGTGCACAATAGCCTGGTACAGCAACTGCTCTGCCCAGGACTGTTAGGAACTACAGAAGGTTAGGCGTACAGCCCAGACCCTCAGGAAGCCAACCTTCCGTCCATGGACTTCATTTACACCTTTTGTTGCGCAGAAAGTCTGCCAACATCAAAGACCCCTCCCACTTCGGTAAACCTCTGCTACAACCTTTTCTGCCAGGCAGAAGATACAGAAGCTTGAACCTGCTAGTGCATGTGTTCAAGAACAGCTTCTTCTTTGCCATTATTAGACAGATGAATGGACACTCTAACTTCAAATAATGTTTATCTTGTTAATGTTGATCTTGCTTCACGCACCTCCTGTGCAGTGTAATCTGTATAGCTCACTCTATCTAAGCACCCTATGACCTGCCTGTACTGCTCATATAAAAGCTTTTCACTATACATAGATACAGGTGACTACAATAAATCAATTTTTTTTTTTTTTTAAAATCAAAAACCTTAAATTGCAGCTTTGAAATTTTCAAAAACAACATTGGTATAGGATAGCACTCTAGATTTCAAAAGATTACGCTAATTTTAAAAGGTGTGCCTTCTCATTCTTGGCTGTTCCCCACCCACCAGAGTTATTTCTCCAGCAACCCTTTTAGAACTTCTAATCATCTTTTAAATAACCAGAAGCTTAGTTGGACCAGCCACAAATACTTCAGTTACAAACGGGGAATTCTGTACCAAGTGACTCACCCAACTTTTTCATCACCTGAAAAGCACAAATAAGAAATTTGTTGTAATATCATAAAATATAGGAGCAAAATTAGACCATTCAGCCCATTGAGACTACGCCACTTTTTTATCATAGCTGATATTTTTCTCAACACCATCCTCCTGCCTTCTCCCTATAACCCTTGATCCTCTTACTAATCAAGAATCCATCTATCTGCTTTAAATACACTCAATGACTTGGCCTCCACAGCTTTCTGCAGCAATGATTTTCACAGATTGACAACCCTCTGAACAAATTCCTCCTCATCTCAGTTCTAAAGAGTCATCCCTTCACTCTGAAGCTGTACCCCCAGGTCTTCGACTCTCCTTCTAGAGGAAACATCTTCTCCACGTCCACCCTATCCAGGTCTCATATTCTGTAAGTTTCGATCAGATCCCCCCCTCATCCTTTTAAACTCCATCGAGTACAGTCCCAGAGTTGTCAACTATTCCTCATGATAAGCTCTTAAATCACATTTTTTTTTGTGAACCTCCTCTGGAACCCTTCTAATGCCAGCACATCCTTCCTTAGATACCAGTCCAAAGCTGCACACAGTATTCCAAATATGGTCTGACCAGAGCCTTATACAGCCTCAGCAGTACATCTCTAGGCCTCTTGAAATGAGTGCTAACATTACACTTACCTTCCTAACTGCCGACTGAACCTGTAGGTTAACCTGAAAGGTATCCCAAATTAGGGCTCCTAAGTTCCTTAGTGCTTCAATTTTCCAAAGCCTCTCCCTATTTAGAAAATAGTCTACACCTCTTTTTCTACCAAAGTGTAGAACTTCACTTTCCAACATTGTATTCCATCTGCCACTTCTTTGCCCACTCTCCTAGCCTGTCCAAGTACTTCTGCAGCCACCCTGCTTCTTCAACGTTACCTGTCCCTGTACCTAACTTTGTCATCTGTAAACTTAGCTTACCCTCAGTTCCTTCGTCCAGATCGTTAACGTATAACGTGAATAGCTGTGGTCCCAACACTGATCCCTGCAGAACTCTGCTAATCACAGGCTGCCATCCTGAAAAAGACCCCTTTATCCCCACTCACTGCCTTCTACCAGTCAATCCTCTATCCTAACCTTGTCTCTGACACCATGGGCTCTTATTTTATTTAGCTATCTCCTTCAGAATTCTGGAGTTACTCCATCTGGTCTGGGTGATTTATCCACTTTCAAAACTTCCAGCATCCCCATCACCATCTCCTTAGTGATGGCCACTACACTCACCTGACACTCAAAGTTCCGGTATGCTGCTGACATCTTCCAGTGTGAAAAGTGATGCAAACTATCTATTCAGTTCCTCCATCATTTCTTAGTTCCCCATTACTACCTCTTCAGCCTCAATTTCCAATAATGCAATGCCCACTCTTGCATCTTTATAAATGTTCTTGAGAATAATGGAAGCATGGTTAGTAATTTTGCAGATGACACCAAAATTGGTGGTATAGTCGACAGTGAGGAAGGTTATCTAAGAGTACGACAGGATCTTGATCAACTGGGCCAACAGGCCAAGAAGAGGCAGATTGAGTTTAGATAAATGTGAGGTAGCACATTTTGGTAAGACAAACATGGACAGGACTTGCAGACCTGGGAAGTGTTGTTGAACAGAGAGACCTACAGGTTCAGGTATATACTTTCTTGAAAGTGGCATTACAGGTAGACAGGGTAGCAAGGAAGGAATGTGGCATGCTTCCCTTCATTGGTTAGAGCATTGAGTATATTAGCTGGGATGTCGTGTTGCAGTTGTACAGAATGTTGGTGAGGCCACTTTGGGAGTACTGTGTACTGGTCACCTGCTATAGGAAGTATATTATTGAAATGAAAGAGTGCAGAAAAGATTTACAAGGATGTTATGGGGTCTAGAGGATTTCAGTTATAGAGAGAGGCTGGATAGGCTGGGACTTCTTTCTTTGGAGCATAGGAGTTTGAGGGTTGACTATAGTGAGGCATATAAAATGAGGGGCACAGTTAAAGTGAATAGCAAAGGTTTTTTTCCCTAGTTCAAAACTAGTGGGCACAATTTTAAGGTGAGAGGTGAGAGGAGAAAGGGACCCGAGGGGCAACTTTTTTCACACACAGGGTGGTTCATATGTGGAATGAACTGCCAGAAGAAGTGATAGATGCAGGTACAGTTACAACATTTAAAAGACATTTGGACAGGTAGACGAAAAGGAAAGGTTTAGAGGGATAGAGGCCAAATGCAAGCAAGTGGGACTAATTTAGTTTGGGAAAACCTGGTCGGCATGGATGAGTTGGACCAAAGGGTCTGTTTCTGTGCTGTATGATTCTATGACTTTTTCTTACCTTTTACAGATCTAAAAAAACTTGCAATCTTCTTTTATATTACTAGCTAGTTTAACCTCATTTCATCTCCTACTATTGCTTTTCTAGTTTCCTCTGCTGGCTTTTAAAGGTTAATCCTCTGGCTTCCCATTAACCTTCACAACTTTTTCTTTTGTGCTGTCCCTGATTCCCCCAAACTTGTACCCTCCACTTGTACAAACCCAACAAAGAGTCCCATTCACTCCCTCCACCACTGACGTACAGTGACAATGTACACCATTTGCAAGATGCACTGCAGCAACTGCAGCTCCTTTGCCAGCACCTCCCAAACTCCTGACCCTCACAACATGGAAGGAATGGCAGTGGACACATAGGAACACCACACCCCCTGCAAGTTCCCTTCAAAGATTCGGAACTATATTATCCTTCGTTAACCATTACTGAAGCAAAATTCTCAAACTCTCTGCTTAGCTGTGGAGGTATGTACATGGTAGATGAGGCTGTCAGGGACAATTAAGCCAGTCTCGCCAGATACATACACACCTCATAAATTAAAAATAATTACCGTATAGGCAAAGCACGTTGTGGAGGCAATTCAGCCCTTCGTGTCAGCACTAGACCTCTAAAAAGCAATTCTTCCCCTCTCACTCCCCTACTTCTTCCTCACACTCTTTAACCTTGCAAATGAAAATAGATTAGAACCTAGTTTTATCCAAACGATGCTCACAACTGATCGATTACTTGGAGGTTCGAAAGGATCACCAAGAAGTGGTAAAATGTCGGTAATGAAACGAACATAAACAAACCTAAGTGGTTGTGGCACCTGGGACACGTTGCCACTGTCCAAGAGTGTCCAGGGAACCAGGAGAACTGCTCCTCCGCCGGCCAGTGCCTGTGGACAGCGGCTTTCTTGAAAGTGAGTACCTGGAAGCGAAGCCCCTGGGGGTTCTGGAAAAGTTGCACCGGGACCCTGCGCTCGCCAATCACCGTGTCGTTACGCTGGGCTAAAGCCAGGGCGCTGGCCACGAACTTGAGGTCCCGACTGGCGGCCACCTCGAAGCCGCACGATCTGCACAGCAAGAGCTCATCTCGGGAACTTGCCTCCTCCTGGCTGGCATTGTGGCCGCTCACGGCAGGCAGCCACACCAAGAGCAGAGTCCTCAACATCCGCCACATTCTCCAGGCCGCTTCTCTTAACGTCTTAAAATAAAACTTCTCCTTTACAATTTTCTTTTGTTCCCCTAGCCCCCCAAACAGTGTTTTAAAAATAATTGCGTAAAACCATTCGGCTACTGAGAGTTTTGTCTGAAGCTTCCCCAACGTTATTGCACAGAACTTTGTATCAAAAATGTATCTGTCTTGTTCCTCCCCATTTAACTGTAGCCCTCCCACGGCTGATATTTAAATAAACTGCACACGGGAGGGGAAAGATGGATCTCGCTGTATGTAAAGATTCTTCAGACTATTTTCACCCCCCTGCTGGCTGGAGGATTCCAATTCACTTCATGGGACTGGGGGAGGATGGATGAAAAGGCACAGGGAGGCTGTTCGACCAGTCCTTCTTCTGCTGGTTCATTTGACAGAGCCATCCATCCAGCCTCACTCAACGCCCCTCCCAACACCACTTCCTCCAAAGCCCTCCCTTGTTTCCTATGTTCAAGGACAAATCTCTTTGGGGAGAAAAAAAGCAATAGCTTATGCTTCTAAGGCATCCTTCTCTGAGGGTTGCTGAAATAATTGCACAGAGGCCAGTATCCCATCACCAAGTCACCCTTCATTTACTTGTGCACAGTACACTGGCTGTGACCAGCCAGCTCATAGTCAGTCCCCTAAACTAGCAGGGGTTTGTGATCTGTTACTACGACAAATTCCCATCCATAAATGTACTGGTGGAACCTTCTCACACCAAAGATGACCAGCAAACCTTCCTTTTCTATCTGTGCATATTTGGGTTTGGCAAAGTCTGGGAA